TTAGATTAGTTAATTTAATAATTTTTTAAATTTAATATCATTAACTTTATCATATATATATATATATATATATATATATATATATATATATATATATATATAAATGAACATAGAAGTCAACACTTAGAGTCGACAGTCTGTCTCATGCTAGATGCAATCCTCAGGCCACTGGGTGCACTCGTGGCCTGAGGATTGCATTTAGCATGAAACAGATTGTCGCCTCTAAGTGTTGACTTCTATGTTCACTTTTATATTTACACACGCTCTACCTCTGATATTGAGCACTTTATCCCATAAATATACCACATCTTAAGACTATATTTCTTTATATATATATATATATATATATATATATATATATATATATATTTGTTCCTTTACAGATACAGTTTATCTGAAAATAATTTACATATCACACACACACACACACACACACACACACACACACACACACACACACACACACACACATATATATATATATATATATGGATATCGTATTTTATAAAAAGCTCCTGGACAGTGTTTTCTGAAAATAATGTTATAGTTTATAATAATAAATAATATCAAGTTTTTGAATTAGTCAGATAGCATTGTATCCATTTTTGTTCATAGTGTTTAATAACTTTTTAAGCTGTTTTCCGTCTGAAACCAGATGTTGATGTCAACATCGTTTTATTAAAAATTCTCGATTGATGAGAGCAAAACTCGAAAAACATGAAAACAAAATCTTATGCTTCCTCGCATTATAATCTTCAACAGATATATTTCACGTAAGCTACTCGTATTTACCTTTGGCTTTGATTGTTTTTTATTCCAATAGTTTGTTTTCGTGATGACAATACAAATAATTAATTTCTAAAAGTGTTCTTTTTACTTTAAATAACATGAGAGAGATAAAATCTAAATCATTTGTAATGGCAGCTAAAAAAATACGTACATTTTTATTATAGTTTGGCTAGGTGCTTGTATTTCAGTATGCCTGTCTCCTATGATGGCTACAAGATCCCTGTTTCAGGCGCCTTCTCAGGCATATTTGCATATTAAACAGCTACGAGGCCAACCTGCGGTTTATACTGCAGATATTCTGAGCATAACTGTTACATTTACTGGAAGAGAGTGCCTGATCTGGGGTGAACATCAGATTGAATAAGGTCATTGCACTCAAAGCCTCGGTCAAGTTGATATCTGACGTCGTGTGAGCAAAAGCATCGGTCACTTTCGAACAATTTTGTCCAGCCAATTTCACTCCTAAGGCTTACACGAGCTTATGGTATTGTTTTTAGGCAATTCCTAACAGTGCCGAACCCTGGGTTGGGTTGTTTGATTTTGTTTATCGGCATATGAACACCTCTATGAGTCATTTAATGCTGAAATCTAAATATTTGAAAGCATGCCTTCAACTATAAATAAAATGTTTATTGGCAATTTTAATATAAATATGTATTTTTGGTAATTTTTACTATAGATATGTATTATTGGTAATTTTTATGATAAATACGTATTCTTGATAATTTTTACTATAAATATGCATTGCTGGTAATTTTTTACTATAAATAGGTATTATTGGTAATTTTACTATGTATAATTACTGTTGGTAATTTTTACTCTAAATATGTAGTGTTGGTAATTTTACTATAAATATATATTGTTGGTAATTTTTACTATATATACGTTTTGTTGATAATTTTTACTCTAAATATGCAGTGTTGTTAATTTTTACTATAAATAGGTATCATTGGTAATTTTACTATATGCATTGTATTGTTGGTAATTTTTACTATAAATAGGTATTATTAGTAATTTTTACTATATATACGTCGTGCTGGAAATTGTTACTCTAAATATGTATTGTTGGTAATTTTACTATATATACGTATTCTTGCTAATTTTGACTATAAATAGCTATTGTTGGTAATTTTTTTTACCGTAAATAGATATTATTGGTAATTTTTACTATAAATATGTATTCTTGCTAATTTTTACTATAAATAGGTATTCTTGCTATTTAAAAAAATAAAATACGTATTCTTGCTAATTTTTACTATAACTAGGTATTGTTGGTAATTATTACTATAAATACATTGTTAATAATTTTTACTATAAATAAGTATTCTTGGTAATTTTTACTATAAATACTTATTTTTGGTAATGTTTACTCCAGCTATGTATTCTTGGTAATTCTTACCACAAATGCTTATTTTTATAATTTCCTAGTGTTTTTTTTTTTTTTGGGTGTTTACTATTTGCCCATAGGTGGGACACGGACTTCCCGAACGCTGGGATCGCCACCTCAAATCAGTTTATCACCACTCGGCTATGTACCTAGTATTATAATATAATATTTTTTTACAGTATGTTCACTCTGTACAAGGCTCGGGGGCCACTCGAAGTAGAGGTTCACGTTAAGGGGTAGTTTATATGGATAGAAGGAGAAGATAATGGTTAACACTAGACTAGAATAGGTTAACAATGTAGTGTTCGGGGAAACATCCTCTTGGGAGTCGGTTCCATAGCGCAGTGCTTCGCGGGAAGAAGCTTTTTAAGTGGAACTTACCTTTCGCCGATGGAATCGGGAGGGAATGTCGGTGGTTTGTTACAATATAAGGCATGGCGGGTCCTAGACATGACGATTAGACATGAGAAAATCAAGGAATGTAGTTCGTCCGAACAGTAATTGAAATGCAAATAATGATAAATCAATAAATCAATAAATCAATAAGATGCTTGCCACGTCCCGCCTGTGAGAGAAAGTTTGGAGGTAAAAAATAATTCGTCACCCCAAAACAACACGGGAAAGTTGTTGAACTCTATAGAGACTGTAATAAAAAGTATCAATTATATTTGACTATATTTTATGCGGGAAGTCTGTAACTTTTTAATGGTACTGATATGTCCCAGAAAGGTATATATTTGAACAAAGTAGCTAAGTAATTTTGGCTACTATAACCAAGTAGAATACGGTAGCAGTAATCGACTGGTACGCGTCGTAGTCGCAGGTAAGAAAGTGTAGATCAATGGCGTGGGCCAATGGGTGTCGTTATAGACTTAGCTCTCAGACTAAGGCTCTTTGACTCTGTCGTACCTACACGTCCGTCGGTATTTATGACGGACACCAGCCAATCATATTCCAGTGAGGAGGAACACAGGTGTATGCATATTCCATTATATCAGGTACAATTCCAAGAGAGATAACTAGGGAATTCCAAAGGGAGATAACTGGAGAAACATAACGAAGTAGTACCTTGATAGAAAATAGAATTGCTAAATTCAGTTGAAATAAGAAATATTTACGTAGAATATAGAAGAAATACACAATTATTTGGCGAAATTGTAACTGAAAAATAACAAAATCGAATCAGATAAAAGAGAATTATAATGACAAAAGCAATTACATCTCGGAGGAATATTGACTAGTAAGTCTCTACTTAATATATGCAAGGCAAAGTTATTATTGAAAAATCCCATGTCAACAAAACAACAACAAAAAAGAAACGAAAGGATAATAAGCATAAAAAGAAAGAAAAACAAAAACGCCAAATGAATTTGGAAGATGAGACTAGTGCAACGAAGGAAAAAATACGCCGAGAAATATGAGATAACTATATATTATTTCACATATCATGAATAATATTGGATAGAAATGCATGATAAAACGTTTCCTTGTGGCAAATTTCGTCCTTTAGGACAGGGGGTGACCAAACTACTGCCCACGGGGCGGTTCAGGCCCGCGACGTCAGTTCATCAGGCCCGCTGACGGTATTTGCATTTGTGTGATAAAACGGATGGAACACGAGATGTGAAATAATTTTTTTTTTAAATTATTTTCATGAATAATTGACATATCATGCTCACGACGGCTCAGAAAAAAATAAAATCCCCCAGTCAAGGTGTTAATCGAGCAGGTCTCTAGGCTGTTTATTTAGGCCCGCTCTATTTATAAATTTTGCAAACCTTATTATGTGATATATTCCATTACCAAAGTTACTGTAACTCTGCTGTTTTCCCAAATTCCCAAGTCAGTGAGAACACACGACTGATAGTAGAATATATTTTGAATGCACACAAAAAAGAGGCCTTCATGGACATGTGTGCCTGTCCGTACATCTTTTCGGGAGTGCAGTCTGAATAGGCGATCAATCCGTATCGATCACGTGTGGGCGTGTGTGATGTGAAAGTGTGCGTTTCAATAGGATTTTAATTATGTTTCTTATTCAATGTCTTTTTCATTTGTCTGTTTCCTTCACCCTTTATCATGGCTGCTAAGAAAAACGGACGCCGGGTGTCGCGTTTTCAATAAAGAATGGGGAGTAAAGTATGTTTTGTGTAAACAAAAGACCAGAAAGCTAGTTGCGGGGTATACAGCGAAAGTGTTGCCGTTTTGAATAAGTACTATCTTCGACGTCACTATGAAACGAAACATCTATCAACATATTCAAAGTTTTCTGGAAAGTTACTGTTAAGGGGTCCTTCCCTTTTTCATATAAGTGGACTCGACCAGAGTGTTACTTGGACTGCTGCCGTTAAATACCCAGAATCAGTCAGAATATAGAGAGTGAGAGAAGACAGAGATTGTGTTTGAGTTGGAGGTAGAGTAATAGTGTGAGGTAACCGCTTGTAGAAGTCACAGTTACAAGCACGTAGACTCTAAAGTCCTACTTCGAGACTATATATATATATATATATATATATATATATATATATATATATATATTATTGCTACTAACGGCGTTCCTGGATTTACTAACAGTATTACCCTTTGTATTATTGTGTAAATAAATTTAATTTCTTATATTTAATTCTTGCGTTTGTCATTCATTGGAGACCAAATTTCATCTCGGAATCCACAACAGTTACGCTCTGAGAAATATAAGTCCATGAAACGTGGTTTAGAAACTCAAAGAAATCTCTTCACGAGAAAATTTGCTGAAAATGAATCTGTCACTCGTACAAGTTCCAAAATAGTGCATAAGTTGGCATAGCGAGGAAAACCCGTTTACTGATGGCAACTTCATTAAAGAGTGTATGATGGAAGCAGCAAATGACTTGCGTGCAGAGAAAGAAAGCTGATTTGTTTGGAAGTATCAGCCTTTCGGCAAGTTGTTGTGGAACAGAAGAACTTGGAGAGAAAATGGTGCTACAGATACGCGAGAAAACTAGGGGCTTGCTGGATGAGTCTACTGATCTCTCGAGTACGTCACTTCTCGTGTTCATTCGTGGTGTCAATTTGGACTTTCAGATAACGGAAGAGTTGGCATCTGTTTGCTGCATACATGGAACAACCACTGGAAAAGACATTTTCATGGAAGTGTAGAAAACTTTGCAAGGCTATAACCTTCAGTGGAATCAGCATCGAGTTGATGGAGGACAAAACATAGCTGGAGTGAGGAAAGGTCTGGTCGGGCAGATCAGGACTCAGTTGGAAAATTTGCAAATTCCGGGCGATCTTTTCATACACTGCATCATACATTAACACACACTCTTTGGGAAAGACTTGCATATTTCCAGTTGTTTATTTTGCGAACTTCATTCGGGGGGCAGTTACCGTCAGTAACAGGCTTTTCTTGAAGAAACTGATTCTGATTTCTGTGACTTGCCTTATCACACAGAAGCGAGGTGGCCCAGCTGCGGTAATATCCTGTACACCTCCGAATCGAAACAGATGTTTTTCTCACTGAAAAAGATAAAGCTGATCCACAGTTGTTAGAGCCTACCCCGCTGTCAAAGTTGTCATTTTTGGTCGGCATCACATCCCATATCAATGAACTGAACTTGAAAATTCAGGGAAAGGATAACCTGGTCTTTGATTTCAAGCCCATCAAGTATGTTACGCACTCTTTCTTATATCCCTATTTCCCTGAATATGTCCTGTGAGTATCAGATTTTCCAAGCCCACCTTCCTCATTACGTGCCCCAGAAATTTCAACTGCCTCTTCCTGATGTTAATTATGAATTTCCTTTTTGTTCCCATTTTATTCAAAACATCGTTATTGCTCACATGTTTGGTCCATGGCATTTTTCTGTAGAACCACATTTCTGTTGCTTCAAGTCTCTTCAACAACTTTGAGAAGATTGTCCAGCATTCGCTGCCACACAAGAAAGCAGATATCACGTAACAGTCAAGTACACTTTTCTTTGATTCTAAAGAACATTTCTATTTCTTAATACTCTGCTTAGCTTTCGGAATGCATCTTTGGCCATCCCAATACGTCTTTGGATCACAGTGTCGCACGTTCCGTCCTCTGTTAGAACACGTCCCAGATATTTACTAGGTTGTTAAACCCAACGAAGGTGGTGTTGATTGGGAGGAGAGGTGACCGCATCGCTTTAGATTTTGTCTCTTTCGTAGCCAATATATTCGAAATGACGGCTATATATTTTTTTAAGCATTTCAGGGGTTGCAGAGAGTGAGAGCAAGAGTAAAGAGGGGTGTTTGAAGAAAGGATATAGAGAAGTACGGGGATGACGATCAAGGCATGAGAAGATGGCGATTGACATTACATTTGAATATTTGAAGATTATAGCTATCAGGGAGGCAAGTAAGAGGAAAGGAGTTCCACTGTCGGGAAGTGCGAGGGAAGAATCTGTCGGAGTAGAAGATGGGGTTACATTTAATTGTTTCGACAGTGAAAGGGTGGGATCGTTATGCCAACCTAGTAGCACGCTTAAATTCATGCAGCTGGGGTACCAGTGAATGTAGCTCTTAGTTGCAATGAAAATATTTGTAGAAAAGACAGAAGGAAGACTGTGATAAAGAGACTGTAGACGAGATGCCAGATCGGGACATATAACATTGTATTTCCTTCTCTGGATTTTGTCGAGGACCTCGAGATGAACAGTGGTGACACCAAACCATATATGGCAACAGTATTCAGTGAAAATACGAATGGTAGATTTGTAGATTTGGAGGATGGACTCAGGCGAGTAAAACCTTCTGGCGCGACACAGAGGACCAACTTTCCCTGCGGTAGATGAAGCTATTGATTCAATGTAGTTGTTCCACCTCAGGTCAGTGGAAAGCGTGAGACCAAACACGGGGAAAAGAGATGCTCTCTTGGAGTTGGGCATCAGCCATTCTGATATACATGAAACTCATGGAATATGGGATGAAAATTCCAGTTATATCAGATGCCACTTCTTTGTTTCGATCTTACACTGCTTACATTAACGGTCAGAGCCCATTCGCCAGTGAATCCCTATCTATAAAAGACAGGATGTGTGTATGTGTGTGTGTGTAACGAATGCACGGTCGCAATTGTCGACGGATTTGCACCAAAATTTACATGCACATGCTCCAAGTTAGTTGAAAGGCCAAGACCGACTTTGCATTTCCCAACTCCCATCGATAGTGGAAATAATCGATTTTTTCATACTTCTACGGCAGTTTTCATGTAGTTTGCGGCCAGTTTCTACTAGCCAGAGTGAGAGCCAATAGCTGGCTGCCACGAATAGCCAGGAAGATTCTATTAGCCAACGTGAGAGCCAACACCTGACTGACACGAATGTTAACTAGCATGCTAGCATGCAAAAAAAAAAAAAAATCGATAGCTGCATTCGTCACAAGTGAGAAAAATTTAAATCTGCATGGCCCTTTACTCCAATTGGCTCATTCTCTTGCTTAAACTCAACGTTGATTCTGATTCCGCAGAACTGGGTTGGGTGTGAAAAAGTATTTGTTGTTAACATTCTTTTTTCATTCGGTTTTTCCAGTTACGAGTCCTTTTTTAAAGCTGATAGTTTTGTGTTCATTTTGTTTTGTTCTTTTTCGTAACATATTTAATGTTTAGTATAGAGCTTAGAAAAAATGTAGCAACATCAACACGGCAAAGGTCACTCCTTTAAAGGCAAGGAAGGGCAAAAATATTTTAAGTCAAGTGATTGCGATTGCCGTATGAGTCGTACGATTTTTGAATCAAGCACGGGCAACGCCGGGCCATGCTGCTAGTGTTATAGTAAAAGTCAGTAAAGAAACGAGTATACAATTCGTAAATTGGCAATCAACGAAACCAAAAATATTTTTAAAAAAAAGAAAACAACAACAATAAAAAACAAAAGTGCGCACTAATGATTCACCTGTCGTATGTGCAAATCTTGTTGACAGAATTTACACCTGTCGCGGCATTCACCCTGGGCGGATTGAGCCGGCTTCTTCCTGTTATGAGAAGAAGATTCTTGGGATAAATTACAGAAGTAGGGTACCCAGGCCTACTCGTCGTAGGTGCAAATCTTGTTGACAGAATTTACACCTGTCGTAGGTGCACATCTTGTTGACATAATCTATAATTTGGAGACGTCAAAATCAAGTCCATACAGACATTTATCAAAGGTGTGTATTGTAGTAACATTTGATGAAAAATGTGACAGAGAAAAACGAAGGTGTGTAAAGAACAGCAAAAGATGCCTTGCTGAAGTTAATCAGTGTATTAAGAGATAGGAAATTTCGTTTGAAACAAAGAAAAGAGTGCTATAAAATCTAATTGTCAGAGGATGTTGGAGAATTTCCTCAAAGATGAAGAAGAGACTAAAAGTAACACAGATGTGGTTCGACAAACATCTTTTTGGATATACCATGGAGTAAAGATGTGATCAACGACAAAGTTGTAAAGAAAATGGGAAACTAAAACGACACTTACAATCAGAAAGAGACAGCTTCAATTTCTGAGGCACATAATGAGGAAAGAGGGCTTGGGGAATTTAACACTTACAAGACATATTGAAGGCAAGAGAAGCAAAGAGAAACTGCTAGTAACCTACAGGGGTGCCCAATAAAAAGCGGTAAATTTATCATTATTGTTTTATTTTTCAGGAATAATTGACCTTGAATAACCTTGAATAAATTTCATGAATAATCATGACCTTCGATAATCACTCGACTCTCACGTAATTATTTAACTCTGATTGGTTCTTTTAGGATTAATTAATCGCTGCTAGATCTTGTGACTCGTCATTTAAAGATTATGTGCATACAGCTTTCGCCTTTCGTTCTGCCTTTCTCGCATGGCTAAAGAACTCACTGATTTTGAACGTCAAGTTATCCTATTTTTCAAAGAAGAACATCCGACGTGGGGATTTTGGAAATGGGCAGAAATTCTTCCTGAATTTTTCAGTCACATCAGCCGTACCCACTTTTCAACGGTTGTCTCAAGTCTTTCTGAATTTACCGTTTTTTTTTACTGGGCAGTTAACGTGTTTGTATGGAACAAATACAAAAAAAAAGATAGTAAAAGTTGAAAAGTTGAGAAAAACAAAATATATTTGTGGGGAGTCATGATTGGCCACTTCATGAACAGATGTAACACATGAAAGAATCTTGCTTCAACGTATCGATTTGTTGTCATTATACCGTAGGGAATAATTAATTCCAGGAGGTTGATAAGTTTGATTTGGAGAGGAATAGTTTTCTTCTATTTTAGGATTAACAGCAAGACTAAGTTTTCTAAATTATAGGATGGACGATCTTGATTTAATCATTTTAATAGGTGTGAGAACACGCATCTGGATATAAGTTAACCTGCTAAGTTAATGTATTTTCTCCTGGGGTGAGTGCCAATCTCCCTCAAGTGCAGCCCACTCCCAAATCTGTTAACTTATTCATTTGGAAACATTAACTAGAAGAATATGTTTTATTGCAGACAAATACAGGCGAGTCTGGAAGTTGTTTGAGCCAAAAATCATCACGCATTCTTTTATCTCCGAGCATTGCACAAGGTTGTCTTTCCAAGTTGATTATTTCGGACTTTAATAGAGTTTTTTTTCATCTTTGAAGACATTGGATAAATATTGTAGAAAAAGAACCATCCCCAAAATTTATGATAATTGAATAGTCAATATTTGCGAAATGTTGTTTTCCTCTCTCTCTCTCTCTCTCTCTCTCTCTCTCTATATATATATATATATATATATATATATATATATATATACACATACACACACACACATATATATATAGGCACAGAGAGAACACACACACACACACACACACACACACACACACACACACACACACACACACACACACACACACACACACACACACACACACACACACACACACACACACACACACACACACACACACACACACAGGAGTAATGGTTAGCGGCATGGATTGTGTAATCGGAGAGCCAAGTTCGAATTCCAGTCGAATCCATTACATTCACTTACGTGCTAATACCCTTGGGAAATGAATCCTCTTATTCTCCCTCCAGCTATGG